CGGCAGTTCCATGCCTTTCGACGATCTCAAGGATATGATCGGTTCCTGCACGTGTTGCTTGATTCCTCCTGCTTTTTTCCTTCCTTCCAGGGTGATTTCACGAGAGTGACTGAACGACAGAGCACTCTTTGTTTGGTTGAGTAGATTTGGGAATAAAAGAGACACTTTGCTTCAGCGAACGTATTCATGCATGAAAGCCCCCTGTGTGGTTGAGTGTAGTTTGCTGTGTCCTTTGATGGGTATGTGTTTGCTTCGTGGGCAAATGCGATGAATGCCTGATGAACGTCGTCTTTTCTTGACACTGGAGTCAGATCAATGACAAGATTACTTCAGATGTACTGTGTAACATTCAAATGTTCAGCGGAGTGGTTGTGAAAGTTTTAGTCTAAAAGATGACAAAGGCGATGTTTTCCAAGAAAGAAATGTATGTTCGAAAGCACATGGAGTTTAGAGGAGAGAATGGCGGTGACTGGCTAGTACTCGAATCAGTTTTCCATGCTTCTGGTCGAATTTAGCCCAAAGTAGCGGCGGCGGTGTCGATTAGAATTGGTTTATCTGGACTAGATGTGGTCTCTGGGACCTTATATGTAAGAGCTGACTCATTTATCCACTGCGCTATTCTCTCACTTCTTTCTGGCTCAACGTTGTACTATCATCTGGCATGCTCGACATTCTTGATGTAAAAATGTTTGTCTCAGTCATCGGAGATCCCAGTTGCCTCTACCTCAAGGTTCAAATGTTGCCTCATCAGCGACACCACCATTGTTGTTGCTTTCATCTCCAAATTTAAGATTTAATTAATGATCCTGACTTTGCTTGAGAAAGTTCTTCAACACTTTAGCACTTTTCCCACCGAAGTCAGGGCCAATGAATGAAATTTCACATTAAGGCAGTGTTGATGGTGACTTTGTCAGTTAGTCCAATAATTGTTTTGATGCTGATCAGTCAGAGTCTCAGAATACTGTCCCTTTCCTTCATCAATGATTTCTATTCCGAAAGCGTGCAGAGCACTGTTTTCAATGAATTTGATAGTCTCAAAGGTTGCGTTCAACATGTACTCCGAACAGACGTGTTCTTAGCCATGTGACTTTCACAGTACTCAAAGCCACGAATCTGTGGCACATCCGTCATCCTCAATTGTAATGGCACATATCTTTTTAAACATCGATTAATCCTAGGTTACTTTGCGCTGGATCAGTTTGGCTGTCCATTAAAACTGTGAATACGGTCGAAAGTCGTATGCAGAGCGCATCCAACTTCCTTTCTTAGTCACAATAGCAGAGCGCTTGGCCCACAGGAGCCTTTTAGCTCGATGATCGTCCGCCTGATTCGAATTTTTTTATGCGTTTCCTTCAATGGAATTTTATTTTTTCTGAGCTTTCTAGGGTCCTTTTCCCTAGAAGGGCGTGATTGTTTTGATTGAAAGCTTCAAAATTCAGTGCTTTTCCTAGGGAATCAAACTTTTTAAGCTGTGTTTCTCTATTCGAAGTTTTCTTGGACTGCCAGTTGTCAGCTGCTTTGATGCTTAAACTTTTTTTGTAAACTCGAGAATGATTTACATAGCGACGGGGAATGTTGTTTGTGCTGAGAAAGTGACCACTGAACTTCTCGACCTTATCCTACTTTATTTAAAAAAATGCAGTTTACTTTTTCAGATATACTCGCTCTGACAACGGACAGTAATTGAATAAAGAGAGGGGAGNGGGGGGGAGGTGGAGGAGGGGTTGAACTATAGGATTTCCATTGGTTGTGCAACGAATATCTGAAGTCTTAGGATGCTTCAAATATTCGATTACACTTCAAAGTTAGCTGAGCAGGTTGTAAAACATTGTAATGGGCAACTTTAAAGCCACTTGGTAAGGTTTACACCAATCTGAGTTGAAGAAATTCTCAAAATGTGACTCTGAGAACAACAAAGCTTCAATTACCCTTAGTAATTTCAAATAGAAAAACTAATAATATATTATACTAGGTCGAAGTATCGTGCCATGATCGCGGGAACCCTCCAGGCGATTATGTGAATGGTTGTTGAACTCCACTTTTCACAGTTTCTTCTATAAGGCCTGCTTCCACATCTAAAAGTTTCCCTCACGTTTGGGAATTGGTTTCTCTTCTTCAATTTCCTCCCCCACTCGATTTGGTGTCAATTGGCTCTCTCTTAAAAGCTGACGTGTGTTCCCGAAGGAATTCCTTATGGCCGTGCTTTCACTACTCTCGTTTAAAGATACTGACTGCGAACCTGCTACTTCATTGAATTTTCTTCTTTGGGTTATCATTACTATGAAGAGTCTACACTCATCTACGCAGCGGAAATTCACCCTTTTCAAATAGTTGATTTTGTTTAATAATTTATCGAGTAGCTTCCTTCCTTCCTTCCTTTAAGCAAGTTCGTTTTAATCGAATTGTAAATTGTAGCGGACAGAAGTGCCAAAGAAAAATCAACTTTTCGGCTATCCATTGAGGTCTGGTCTGATGAAGAGCTAATGTTTGATGCAGAGATGCATAAAGAAAGTCCCAGGATTACAGTTTCATAGACTTCTTTTAGAGCTAATCGCTTGTTGGGATGCCGATGGTTAAAGTAAATCACGCTCATTTCTATAAGAAATCCTGTCAGTTTCTATCAGAAATCTCGTGTGGTTTCTGGAAGCATGGCTCAGAACAATAGTGTCGCCATTCTATGAAAAAAGGCAACTTTGGCACTGATTCAATCCTCTTGGGACATAGAATTGTTCAAGCGAAGGCAATGTTCATGAATTAGAATTTGTGGGATGTATTACCACTCACATAAGTTTTCCAAAGGTTTTGTGGCAGTGATGGCAGTGAATCAGTGTAGCACTGATCATTTAGTGAACAGCATTTTACCCTCGGATCAGATCAACTATACATTATTCAGCTGATCTGATCAGGCAGTGATATGCTACATACTTATGGAATAACCCTTGCTCGCTGCTTCTCTACAAGGACTTCCGATAGTTTAGGAAGGTGATTATTAAGTTCGTGAAACCGCTTCAGAAACTTTTCTCGAGATTTATCTTCCCCGTCATACCTTCAATTTCTATCAGTTTCGTTGATCATATGGCCAGCCAATTTTCATTCATTCACGGAAGCCTTATAATCAGAACAACCTATTTAAAGTTCAAAAATACTAGTGAATTTATTGCTAGGGAAGCCTGTTGTTTGAGTTCTGAAGTTGAGTTTAAGCTGCTGCGATGGAAGATATGGAACTCTGTAGCTGTCCAGCGGCCTATCTCTCATCGATAATTTTTGCAGAATTTTTAATCCAATCTGTAATTTCGGGAATGGTGAATCCAGACATGAACTAGACCTATGCTAAGAGGCATATATTTGAAAGTATGAAGTGATAAAAGTGTAGAATATACTTTTTGTCTATTTGTAATTTATTCCGTAAACAAGATGTAGAAGTATACATATTTCGCAAAATCTGGGCCGATACGATGCAAAATTTTCTGAAGTCTTAGTCAGTTTTTTTTT